CCCAGTAGTACAGAAACATTTGACAGATTCCCTGTATTTGTTTGGGAGTCTTTCTTAACAGCTGCATCCTTGGTTCAAACTGTTCAGACTCAATTCATTTATGAAATTCTCATAAAGAATCCTTCGATTTTTCTGACAGACGCCTTATATACACAGATAATAAAATTCATGTAATCATAGGCACTCGTACTTGGAATAAGCCCCATTAAAATTAATGGCACTTACTTCTAAGCAAACATGGATAGGACTGGGCACGGTGCTGCATACTCTTGACTCCAGTCTGACGATAATTTTATTATGTCTATTTAGAAAGAAGAATTGTCGTTGTCAGAAATAATATCCCTTGGAGTCAATTATTTGTTCACTGTCATAAATCTCTCTTGAGGGTCCTGACTGTTGCAGGAAAAAAGCTCAGTGGATTAGAGGGGATGGAACGCATGTGAAAATGCTCTTGGAGTCCTGACAGAGCTTTATATATACACGTGTTTTGTTTTCCATATTCAAAGTTAAATGGAGCCAATGTAACTTTGAAAAATAACAAGTAGCTATAATTCCTAGGTTGTTTTTGACTCTTATTTAAGGTTTAGTGGAGGTTCCATATAGAGAACTTGTGTTGGTAAATTTTGTCCTCCACAAATTAGTCTAATGTTCCCAGTTTGCCGAAACAAAATGAAACACTGAAGTGCTTTCCCCTTGGCATTTTGCTTGCTTTGGCAAGCGAGGATTGCCCCCTGCCCGCTCCGTCGCTTCAGCCTACCTCCTGCCGCTGTCATCCAGGGTACCCTCATCCCCAGGCTCCATCCTCAGAGGCAGCAGCCCTGGCAGAGAAGCCCGGCTGCTGCCTCAGAGCACGCGCCAGTCACCCAGCGCCAGCCTTCCATGACAACCATGTGGAGAGACTGCAACCCGGCTCCTCTGTCTGACTTCTCTGGCACTGCCATCGCTTTTCCGGGCCACTTGGGAAGGCAGCAATAACAGCAATAGCTGTGGCCCCGGCAATGCTGGCAGCAAGCAGGCCAGGCAACAGTGGCAGTGGGGGACGGGCGGGCTGACATTGGCCCAAACCACCATGAACTGGTGGGCATTTTCTGAGTCGTTTGTGGTTAGCCGCAAACAGTGAATAATCACGAACCACAATTTTTCTGGTTTGTGCCCATCTCTAGTTAGGAACAATTAGTAGAGGAGAGGAAGTGAAAGGAAAGACTTGAGTGGGTAGGACTCAGAAGGAGGCTTGAAAAGAAGACCACAAATAAGCAAGATATCACAAAATAGTAGAGCAGTAAATACGGGCAAGAGCATTTTCTATGACAGGGAACAACAGTTGTCTAACTAATTTACAGGGCAGTCACTATGTTAGCTTCTTGCTGCCCATTGAAGGCTAACAAGTTTTATTCGGCATGACCTCTTGTGGACCGCAGCACATTTCTTCAGATATATGGAAAGTAGCCCACATGACCAAACAGTTGTGCAATAGTAGTGGATGTGGATCTTTGTGTGAAGGGGAGGATATAGCAGAAATGAAAAAGGTACCAGCGTTGTGATGGTATAATGATCATTCATGGTCATACGGTACTCACTGAGAGATGACAAGTCCAGAACTTAACAGAAGCTGTTAAGAGTGATTGAAAGATCCTTAGTGGTTGACAAGCCTATCCAGATAAACAGATTATGCTGGAGTGATAGAAGAATTTAGCCAGTAGATCCAAAATGGTCCCTATTTTTTAAATTACATGCATGCTACAACATGTCAATATTTATTGCTGTTAATTTTTAAACTCCATTTGTTAAATATTTCTTGCACAATCCTGGCAACATTAGCCACTTTGAAATCAATGGGATTAGATAGATTTACAGTGCAATTTTACATGTTTATTGAGATTTTTAATGTTTGTTTGTTTGTTTGAATTTCAGTGGTACCTTCTTGTTGTAGTGTGAAACAACATTGCATAGATTACATGATGGAGATAAACTGGATCATACAACTGCTGCTCTTCTTAGCCCTTAGCCTGGTGAGTCTGCCCTCCCTCACCAGTTGATATAATACAGTAGAGATGGGCATAGAAAATATATTTACATGTTTCAATGCTACCATGCTTGTGTTTGTTTAAATTATTTTTATGCTGCCTTTCTTCCCATAGGAAACCCAAGGCGGCTCACAACAGATACTTAATCCGTATTGAAAGGTGGTTCTCAAGTTGAAAAGTTCAAATAATTAAATGTATATTAAGTTATAAAATTAAGTTTAAAAATAATTTTAAATCTTTCAAAAACCTGTAAGTTAAAAACCAACATTCCTGAGATAAATTACCGCTTGTGTTGATTATTACCTTGATGGTTGCTTGATTTTATGTCAAGTTTTGTGGGAATAACCAATATGCTCCCTTTTATCGGGCAGTGCATCAGACATTCTGGCTCATTGGTAAACTCATTGATTTCCATGAAGGAGGTTCCAAATTCAATTGTCTGACACCTCCTGGTAGGGCTGGGAGGACTTCTGTCTGAAATCCTGGAGCATTGCTGACAATCTGAGTCAAGTTACTTGATCAAGATTGAACATGGGTTAATGTCTTGATGTGGCATCTTTTGTCCTTAAATTAATGCACGTGGTGGAGAAGCATAGGTGATGGCTGGAAACTGATTTCCTCCATCTAAGATGGCACCTGCTCCCAGCAGCTTCTGAAATGACTATGAATATCTTGAGTATTTATGATTTCATGGTTGCAAATGTATATGACTTCCCTTTGATGAAGACTGGCACAATTATACACCATCACTCCATGGGCAGTTGCTGTGGCCAGTTCAACTTCTTGTTACCACGCTTTTGTTAATGGGAATCTCTGTACTTAAGCTATGTGAGTCCCATCGATTACATGGATACAGTCTTCCAGAGGGGCTACATTTAGTGCCTTTCCAGCTTAGCGGAACTTGCCTGACCAGTCATCCAGCTGGCATGGGCTTCAAGATCTCAGGATCACATTCATGCCATAAGGAGGCAACAGAATAGGGATTTGTGAAGGGTACAGTGGGGTCTCTACTTAAGAACTTAATCCGTATTGAAAGGTGGTTCTCAAGTTGAAAAGTTCTTATGTTGAATCTGCATTTCCCATAGGAATGCATTGAAAATCATTTAATCCGTATCTGCTCTTTTCCGTCCATAGAAACTACAGTGGAACCTCTACTTAAGAACTTAATCCGTTTTGGAATGGTGTTCTTAAGTTGAAACGTTCTTAAGTTGAAACAAAATTTCTCATAGCAATGGACTGAAAACCAATTAATCCGTTCTGGCTGTTTTTTTGTTATGTAGAGGTGCGTTCGTACATTCAAAGATTATTTCCCATAGGAACTAATGCAAAGCTGGTTAATACGTACTCTACCACTAGGGGGAGAATTTTTTTTAACCTAAGATGACCTAAGGTTAAAAGAAGAGCAGGAAAGGGTTTTTTTTCCTGTTCTTATCTTGGATTTCTGTTCTCAAGTAGAAGCAAAATTTAGCAAATGGAGCTGTTCTTAAGTTGGATTGTTCTTAAGTAGGGACGTTCTTAAGTAGAGACCCCACTGTATCTCAGTTTTTGTCCAGTTCCTTGTATTAAAATGTCCTGGGATCTTTAACATTCTCTCCCTGTAACCTAGACATCTTGTTTTAATCATCCAGAGTAGCAGATATTAGTTCATCTAAACCAGAGATAGACAATCTCCGGTGGTCTGGGAGCTCCACCTGTCCATCGTTAGAACTAGAAAGGCTACATTTGCTTACATGACCCTCATAGCTCGAAAAATAACCTTGCAAACTTTTGGAGGAAGTACAAGAGAAATCTCCTTCTGCCTTCTACTGCCTAACAATATATGGCATAATTTTTTTAAAAAAAAACTGGGATGTGTAAAAGATCCCAAGCATGTTGGAGGCCCGTAAAAATATGGCAAATTTGATTTCTGTGACCCCAGAGTCTACAAGGACACTTTTTGAGGCAAAAAGAGAAAGGATTTTCAAAAAGCTGAAATTTTGGGAAGTGGATTGGGGCTACAGGCCAAAGCTTGCCCACCCCTGAAGTGATCAATTAATATCTTTTATGTTCCATCTCTCTTGACAACTGCATAATGAATTTCTGTTCAGGTATTCGTTGCAGCCATTCCAGAAGAGAAGCAAGGGAATTTTACTGACGAAATGTATCTCAAGGCTGACAAGAATGTGACCGACGACCTCCATGCATTGGGTGTAACTACGTACAAAATCATGACAGCACAATATGAATGTTACCAGAAAATCGCACAAGCTTCTCCACGCAACTATGACGGTAAATCCTACTCTCTCTGCCGTTGTGTGTGTGTGTGTGTGGTTTTTTTGTTGTTTTGTTTTTTGTTTACTAGATATACCTTTATTCTCACAAACAACCTTGTCCTCTGTGGAGTGCTATATAAAGTACAGTACTGTACTTCTTGTAAACAGAGTCAAGGAGTATAAGAGATCAGGTGGCTCTGCTCCTTGCTGATCTACACAACTCACAGTGCAGTTTTTCGCCTTTAAATCCCTCAATAGCTAGGGCCCTGCATGCCTGAGGAAACTCTTTATATCCTAGGTGGTTTTAAGGTGACCTTATATGTTGGCCCAAGGCCCTACTGCTCATTCTTTGTTTTACACTGAGAATCTGCAATAGGGCTTGGATTTTATTTATTTAT